AACGCCCACAGGAAAGGTTCCACCCGTGCGAGCGCCTGCGGGGCCAGCACTAGACATGCGCACTGTGCGCACATCCCATCTGCGCGGGGCGGGAGGCCCCGTCTACGCACGCGTCCCATCGCACGCAGACGGGCACACACCGTTTGTGTAGTAGACCTGCATGGTAGGCTTGCACACATGGGCCTGCGCGCACCGCCTTGCAGGGCATGCGCGTGCCTACAGGCTAGGCCTGGAGAACGCGGCTTATTAGGCAGTGTGTAGCTGCCTTAGGTAATGTGTGCCGCCCCCTTGGGTGATGAGCGCTGCCTTGGGTGGCGTGTTCTGTCGATTGGGCAGCAAGCTACCGCTGTTGCTTGAGCGACGTACCATCGTCGATTGGGTGATGTGCTTTTATTTTTTGTGCCGTTTTCATGTCACGTTGCCCGTCCATCGGTCACATCTGTGAGTTATTGCATCACATCTTTTTCCATTGACTTTCTCACTTCTCACCAGATTTTGCTACTTGGCGCAAATATGAAGATCCCCATTTTTTATAAATAGAGATCCTCCCTTCACCATTTCCTTATCACTTTCATTCTATTTTTCCATCCTCCAAGATTTTAGAGAGACAGAGAGTGATCTAAAGAGAGAGAGAGGAGAAGAATAAGCAAAGGTGTAGGAAACTTCGAGGTTTTGGTAAGAAATTTAGTATTTATTTTTAAACATTTTAAGGAATATTTCTAGAATAAAGTTTATGAAGTTCGAATTTATGACTTGCATGGTTAAATTTTATATGATAATGCATGAACTTATTAATTAACAAGTGATTTAAATGATTTAATGCTTGAAATCAATACTGATATGTGATCCAATTGACGGTGAAAAAGTGATTAAACACAAATGGTATATAGACATGAGAAAGATGTACTAGAATTGACATACATAATTCATAAAGTGTTACGTTAGATTTTTTTTTATCTTTGAGAGGTTTCTGTTTTTCCCTCTATTTGGTCTGAAAAGGCGTAAAAGAACCGCTCCCTATAGATGTCGGTGTACTCTCTGACGAGAGTGGTGATACAATATTACTGTAGGGCACCCTTTGCGAAGTACGATCGTGGTAATAAATTGTGTCATGGTTTGGTAAGTCGCAAATGTGTTGTTGATTTGACAAGCCGCACATTACTATTATAACTGAACTGATCATTCTACATGGGTAGTTAAAAGTCAGAACGATTTTGCGAAAAAATGACACGAAAAATTATGCATATCATAGTTTGTTTGATTTTC